ATTTCAAGTAAATCTCTAATGTTAGAGACTAAAGTTCAGAAGATTTCTGTTTCTTAGAGAAACTATTCTTTTCCAGGAGCAGAATGCTGTCTCTCATGTTTGTATATTTGCAAAGCTGGTGAGCTCGGTGATGGGGCACACCTGTAATCCTGGCATGTGGGAGGCTAAGGCAGGAGGGTTGTGACTTTGAGGCCAACCTGAACTACACAAGGCTGGCCTGGACTATATAGCAAGACTGTCTCAAAAAACAAACAGAAGGCATTTGATAAGGTAAAAATAACTATAGATCCATTTTACTCACATGGATAAGCAATACATAAATATTCAGGAGATAGAGTCTACATTTATAAGTAACTTTATTTTATTTAGCTCCTGAACTTTTCTCCTTCTGTTCCACTCTAAAGGAATAATCAGGAAGTAATATTACATAGTAAGATTAATATTTCTTAGTAACTTATATATTACTTTTATAGTCCTGATACATTTTGAGGAATAGTTCCTAGAAATAAGTATACATAGATCTCTGGTCTTAAAACATTTTTGTTGCAATGGTATAAATACATCAATAGTGTAAACTTAGGAGCATTTTAGTATTGTCTACACTTCTAGTCTGTACTTTAGATGTCTATCTTTCAGAAGACATGTCGGGGCTTAATTCAAGGAGTAAAAACAGTGAAACTAAGAGTTTAATAGAATCTTGACTAAAAGCCATCACCTCTGTCATTTTTGAAACATTTGTCAAAAGGCATTTCTCTAACTGGTTGCAGTCTGTCATGTTTCTTGGCTGGATGTAGACACCAGGTCACTGTCTTACTTATCACTCAAATACTGTTTCATTAAATCCTAGAATTTTTGATTTTCAGAGAAGCTACATGGAGTGTATGTTTTAAAGCTAAAAAGCAAAGGTCAATGCCCTACCAAAATTCATTTCTGTTAGAAGTGTACTTAAAAAGTAAAGCATTATTTTTGAGCATGCTATATCATATTTGGCCACCTATAATTACTTTATCTTTTAAAATGGATTTGCTTTTTTAAAGATTTTTAAGAATACTATGAGTTGAGATGATTGTTTTACTATGAAATTAGGCTTTAAAACATTTGAACAAAAAATTAAAATGCTTGAAACACCTGCTTAGAGTGCTGCTTGCTTTTAGAGCTTACTACTCCTGGTAGCTATCCTGTTAATACAGGGGTCAGATGCCTAAGTGCTGTAGAGGTCTGTGGAGGAGTTTGCTTTGTCCTGCTTTGGTAGATGGTGGAAAAGAACCCACTGCAGGCTGTGTGACATGCTGGGTGGTGTCTAAGAGGGATTCTGCTAGCAGTTTGAACAATGTGGAAATACTTGAAGGAAGGCCTTGATCTAGGTGCCTGGTGATCAGGGCCTGAAATGGGCCAGGGACCTTCAAGGAAGACACTAAGAGCTTAATTTGAGGGGTTGTGGGATAGACTGGTTTGAGTGGATGACTGGTAGCCCCTGAGCCACCTCAGTATCACTTTTCTTTGGTTCCCGATGCTCAAGCTGTCAGCCTTCCTTAATCTTCCTTGGAAATGTCCGTACCATCCACCATCTCCTGTTGGCTCTAGATGCAGCCATTCTAATTTAGGCCTTTACCACCACTTGAAAAGTATTTTGAAAGCATCTTCTGGAGCTACTCTCAGTGCCATTCCCCGCAGTCCCCTCCCACCCCAATCTCTCCCTCCATCTTCTTTATACACGGCTGAAAGAACTGCCTCCCCACCACCAAACACTTCTTTCAGCGGCTCATTCTTTATTCTGAAAATTGGGAGAGGCTCCGGTTTTGCCACATTAGAGGCAAGGCTTAAAGATCAGCAGCAACGAGCAGGTAACGGGGGGTTAAAGCAGGGTTATTCCACTGGGTGATAAACCTCTGAGCAGACAGCCAGAGGTATAAAAGTTATAGTTCTCTTTATTTTACAGCAGACAGAAACTGAAAACACAGACAAATTTTGAGGACAAGGAAAGCTTATCTTAGGCAGAAGTCGCAGGTCCAGTTTCCATCCTTGGTGCTGCATTTCCAGTGGGAGAAAAGTCAGTCCCGACACAGACCTACTCACCACCTCATGCTCACCACTCCATGCTTTTTCTTTCCCCAGGGCGCTCTTTCTCCCTGGAGTTCATCTTTTTCTAATCTGCTGTTTAAGACCACCTTTTTCCATAAACCCTTTGACTTTTCCAGTATCTTTCTAATTCATACTCTCCTCTCCTTTTTGAGAATTCCTACTGCACTTCCTGGTAGTACTGATTCTAGTACTTAATCATTCTCAAGCTTTCCCCAACTAAAATGTGAACTCTGGCATGAAGGATTAGGCCCCACATTCTCATATCTCTCATTGCAGATGTGTGTGGAGGACAAGGTAGTACAAGAAAAGTAGCAAGGCACAATAGGACGATCGAGTCCTGGGATCCGGTCCCAGCTTAGTTATTAATTGAACACGAGGACTGGGGTGGAAGGGTGGACATCAGCGATATTATTTCTAAGACCTCTTCGGCTTTGGGAATTCTGTGACTCTAATGACAGATCATTGACTAATGGAATATGGGGTGTGAAAAGAGATTGACTATCAATTAACTGAGGCGTGAGCCTGGAGAACCAGGAAAGTGAGGGAGTTGGTTTAGTGCTCGTCAGTTAGACAGCCCTTTAAGAGTTTCTAATCCAAGGGACCCTTCAGGGAGCAGTCACTGTAGGCTTTTGTGAGATGCAAGCTTAGGGATGGGCCACGTTACTTCCACACAAAGAGGGGCTCCCTGGGCTCCTGTGGGGTGCTTTCATTATTTTAGAAAGAGTTAAATTTAGCCATGGGAGGTAGTTTTGGGTGGTATTTCCCCCCATAAAGAAAAGTAACCCGTAGTTTGTATTTTCATAAAAACCTACAAATTAAATGAATCACTACTAAAAGTCAGGTGTTAGAAATTTAAACAATAACATTTTTATATTTCCTTTTTCAAAAACCCATTTCTCTTACACCAAAAAATGAATTTTTGTCACCTGTTAGTATTTTGATTCTGTTGATAAATCTAAAGCTGAATTTCCACTTTATGTGGTAGAATGGTGATAACTGTCCATTGTAGCCAAGCGTGGTGATGCACACCTGTAAATCCCAGCACTGGAGAGACTGAGACAGGAGGATCCCCGAAAGTTCAAGGCCATTCTGAACTACATAGCAAGATCGTGTCTCAAAAAAACCCCAAACTTCTATACTGTTGGTAAGAGTATAAACTAGTACAACGACTATGGAGGTCAAGGTGGAGATTCCTCAAAAAAACTAAAAAATAGAAATTACCTTTGACCTAGCTATTCCCCTTCTAGATATCTTTCTAAAAGAGTTAAATCATCGTATTACAGGGTTACATGTATACCCATGTTTATAGCAGCACAATTTATAATATACCTTGGAAACAGTGTATATGTCCGTCAACAGATGAATGGATAAGGAAAATGTGGTATTTATATACAGTGAAGTATAAAGCTGTCATAAAGAAAGATAAACTTGAGGCATTCATAGGTAAATGGATACACCTTGAGAACATAATCTTAAGTGATATAACTCAGACATACAAGCTTAAATATCACATGGTTTCTCCTATATGAGAAACACAGCATACTGTTTATGTATATACAAATAAAGAGGCAAATAAGAAATAAATAGGAAGTAGGAAGAAGTTCAAATACTTCCCCAAATTACATATTCTGATGTTTCAGAAATATTTTAATAAATATATTAATTTGTTTTATTTATGCTACTTAGCTTATCTTAGTTCCTTGAAAAGAAAATTTTGTTATTATCTGTTTTCTTCTTTGTGAGAATCCTTTTGATCTGTGTCTTGTACTCTGAGTAACTACTTTGATGATAACAATACATAGTGTAATAACTATTATTGTCTTATTGTTATGAAATTTTTTATTTTTTCATAAAATAAATAAGTGTCCATTGTAATGTTTTCTTCAAAATGTGTCCATCTTATGTAGCCATACTTATGTTATTAATATTAACAATGTTAGATCTTGATTTCATATTCAGGTAGTCTGTCTTTCCCTTTTTTTCCTCTTTAGTTTATTATAATCTTGATTAATAAACTCTCAAGTCTGCTAAGAAGTTGTGCAAAGTAGCTAGAAATAGGTGATGTGCTCTGGTTAAGCGGAGGGATCTGTGAGTGCCTTTATATTTTTATTTGGGGTGAAGGTGAGACCAGAATTCACTGTTCATTGGATTTGAATATGAGGGTTTATAGGCTGATGTGTTACTGTTAAAAACTACTCAAATCTAATTTCCCATGCATTTCTGCTAGCAAATTTAGAAAACAAGCGTCTCCATAGAAAAACATAATGGTAATCTTGAATACAGAAAACGATGCTGGAGACTAGCTAATATTTACAATCACAGCTTTTCTCCCAAATTCACAATTCTGTGATCAAATATTTACATTATAAAGAAGAGAGCGTTCATAATAAAGCAGAAACATTGCTCTACAAATTATGTTTCCCTGGAGAAAATCTTGTTAGAAAATTGACAAATTCAAATGAAAGCTAATCTCCAGTAAAAGGTGAGAAAATAGAAAAGTACACAGAATTCCTCTATATTTTATGTTTCTAGCATCCTTCTGAATTTTTCAGAGTTCCTCTAGTTACCTCTTTTATCTCCCCACCCCTATTTTAATATGTCAGGAAATTAAGCAAGGCATTTTTTATGTAAAACTTGAGTTTGTATAGATTGGAATTTTTTTGCAAATTGTGTCAGTCATTTTTAAAAACATGATTAATTACACTGCCAAAATATACCTTTTGGTTATATGGTTCAAAAAACTGTTAACAGTTCATCAAGGGATCTTAATATAACAAACTGCAACAGTAATCATATAATGAAGAGAGATTTTCACATATTATGGCACTGACCAAATACATAGATTTAAAGTTTAAATATTTACTCCTGTGTTACAGAACTAAGATTTACCTGTTTGTTTCTTATGTTTCTTTTAATAGAATTTAATTCCTTTCCGACCTTCAATTCAGTTCCAAGGGCTCCAGGGGGTAAGTACTGTCTAATATTCTTCCCACACACCACAAAACTTTTAAAATTTGATTTCATTTTGACCTTTTAATATAATCAGTCATTCATATATGAGTAAACTTTGAGACTAACTTATGACACCTTTGGTCAAAATTCTTGAATTATCTTAATTTTTTTAAAAAAATAATTCACGTATAGTTATGTTTCCAATATGTTATTCTCTAAATCATGGATAATTGCATATTTGAAATTTTTAATTGAAGGTTCAAACATCAAGGAATTATGTGAATGTTTTATTTGCTACAACTAAACAAAGAATTACTAATTTCAAGCAAGTTATGATTATGTGCTTATTGTTTACTGTCTGTTCACTTAATTTTTTAATTGTACAGACTGTGAAATGAAAGAGTAGTAGCAATTGAGCTTTTCTACGATATCAAATAAAGTTTTCTGTGTCCCTTTTATTGCTGTATGAAAGAACAAGATTACTGTGGGTGTAGCTCAGTGGTAGAGCAAGCATGTGCTTAGCATGTGAGAGGCCCTGGGTTCAATCCCCAACACACACACCAAAATAGTATGTGTAAACTTATTCAAATCTATTGTATTTACAACAGATAATAAACTGTACAGGAGCAGTGTCAATATTGTTTAATTACGAATATTTAATATTAGACTTTTTTGCTTCCTTGCTTAAATTAATATGCATTTCTATGCCTATATGCTAACTAAAGTAGAGATTGGTATACTTGTAAATGGGTTTTATAGAACTGTAGAGAAAAGGAAATGTGTTCTTGATTATTGTAAATCTACATATTTGTGAATTTCTGTGTCACAAAATTTTAAAATGTCAATATAAGTAACGAACTATAGAAATGATCCCTGAAGGTATAGCCTTTAAAAATGTCAATATAAGTGAATGTAATCTTTCTAAACTTTGTAACTTAAATACATTTCAAGAATCAGATTAATTACATCACTCACTATGGACTAAGAGTACAGTACTTCTAAATCTGTTGTGTAATGCTAACTTGAAGGAGATGTTTGTGTGGATGTCAGGGTTTTGCTTCTACATGACAGCTTTACAATGAAGTCCTTTTTCCCCCTCTGAGTAACTGAGTGCTCATGAATGGGATCCTAATTAGACAAGTGTTCTGAATTTCGTTGTATAGCTTCTTAGGTAGTCTTTAGTGCATGCCAAATCTTTATTTGAGGAGTTAATTCAATTGTTTATTTAAGACTTCTGGAGATTCCCTGCATGTTTTAATGGTGTCAGTAATATCTGAAGAAATGTTCAAGAGGCAAGCCTAGGCTGTTAGTCTGCAAGGCCCCATGGATTTCACCAAGGGACTTTGTGGGAGGCAGCGTAAGAGCTGGGGAGGAAACTAAGGATTGAGCTTCGTTTCTTTCACTAGGAGTTATAGAGCTATCACCTTATTCTATGGCTGCTGCTTCCTCAATTCTCTCTTTTACCTAGTTTGGGACATCCAAGCAAGGGAAATAAATGCAAGTAAAGGACATGTTTCTTAGGCAGCACCAAGTGAGTCTGAAGGACTCTTAAGGAACCAGTATGTGCAGACTTCCAAACTCTTGATTCAAACACTTGCAGGTTTTAGCAGTCTCTGAAGGAGCGTGGTTTTCCCTGGCACCACTACAAACCAAGCAGTTTATATTTGATACCTTGGGCCTCCACCTGTATGCTGAATTGTCCACCTGCATCTCTCTACAGTTTGCCTGTACTCCTGTGTTCAAGGGCCCCCCTCACCCCTGTTTGTGTTTGCCTGCACTGCTCTTCTCACTCTGTCCCTTGCCTGAATATAGTCTGCTGTTAAAGATAATTTCGTTATAAATGACTGATGGTGTTAACCCTTAGTGGGTGTTTGAATTTTAGCAGATAAGCATTTAGCCCGAATGAATGGTGATTGGGTTTGGTGCAGTAGTTGTGTGCAGACTGAGAGCTATAGGATGCTTGACCCTACCTTGCTTATTCTAGGTCTGACTCCTCAACCCCCAACCCTTTTTATTATTCTAACTGAGAACAAAATATATGGACTCAGCATTGTTTTAGAGCCTGCAGCTGCACTCCATCTGCCCTTCCCCTTCTCTTTGCAGAGCTCTCCCCAGCCCTCTGGGACTTAGTAAAAACAAAGAGTCCTTACAGTGGAGAGAGTGGGTTGGCACAACCCACAGGGAATATGCACAGCCATAAATGTAGGGGTCTTCCATACAGTGTGCCTCTGTTTTTCTCAAGAGCCATGAAAAGTTCAACATTGCTCATGTTGATTGCTTTAGAAACCTTGAAGTCTGCTTATAGACTTTTCCTATGTGGAAATGTGCAAGGCTTTAAATTGGACAGTTTAAATTTAGATTTCCCACAAGGATAGATACTTTTTCTTAGTAAAAAAATGTTGTCTTTCTACATCAGACGTGATTGAAAATGTACCTTAACTATCACAGTAGTGTCATATGTAGGCCTATTTGAAGTATAACTGAAACACTGTTAAAATATCCTTTTAAAAGTGAATGTGTTGTGTTCAAATTGTGTCCTGTTTCCAAAATGAGAATTATGCTAAACACCACATGGTTATGCACTTTCTTGTCACTAATTAAAGGACTTTTTTTCCCCTTTAGCAGTGTCTTTAGAAGGCCAGAATTTGGGTCTTGGCAAGTTAGCTTTTAAGCATATTTACTTTTCTACTTGAATATGTTCCCTTAGTTTGAAGCTAACTTCTGAATAAATTCAGACTGAACCATTAAAATGTAGCATTATACTATTAAAGAATTATAATCATTGAACTTTTATCATCACAGTTGAGCAGCAGCTTTCATAACGTAAAAATAAAAATTATGTCTTTCACAGTTCATCCCACCCCTTTCCCTTAGTGGAAGCGGGCACTCAAGAAATTGAATGGTCATTGAAGACATTTTCTGGATTCAGAAAAATAAAATGTCTATGGAAGCAGTTGATTCTGATTACTCATGAATGTCAGGGGCTGACTCCATCATCTAAAAATGCCTTGTTGATTCTGAAGAGTGAGTCAACTGATTATCTTCACAGTATTAATCCATATCTAAGATACACATAACTAAAGGTTTACTAGGCTTGTAAATGTCTATCTATAGACCAGCATGTTTGAACAGAGAAGATAGTTGGGTGAACATTGTCAAGAACATTGAGGTGTTCTTTGAGGTACAACATTCAGAGGGATGTGTTGGCATAATGCACCCAATTTCCAAAAGCTGTATCTCTATTAAATTCACTTTATAAAAACTGGGATAGTTCATTCAGTCTCTATATTTTAATCAAACACGGAAGATGTGGCAGTGGATGTTTTCCAAAGATGTGTGTTCAGTGAATTTTTAAAAACTAAATTCTGGATTTTTTTTTTTTTGGTATGGGGGATCGAACTCGGGACCTTGCGCTTGCAAGGCAGGCAGTGGAACCACTGAGCTAAATCCCCAGCTAAACTCTGGGTTTTTAAGCCTATTGAAAGTTTCTAAAAAAAAATAAAAGTACAGGCCGGGGATTTAGCTCAGTGGTTTCGCCACCTACCTTGTAAGCGCAAGGACCCGAATTTGATCTCTGGTACCAAAAAGAAAGTTTCTTGTCTAGAGACACAGTTGATGAAGTCAGAGCTGTAACTACAGTGAAAAATTCTTCCCACTATATTGTACAGTTTTAAGAGAGCTGGAAGCAAGTTAACTCAATATTTTTACATAATGACATTTGTTACTGATGCAGTTATCAACAATGTACTTATCTAAACAATAAACTATAATAAATACATTCCTAATCAATGAATATTATAATAGGTTAATTTATTGCTCTACATATTTCTTATTCACTGCCCAAACATTCTCTCAGCCTGTGTTGAAGCCAAGTTAAGTGCTTAGTATGAAATGATGGGTAGATATGACCTTTATCCTTAGGGAATTCAGTCTGAAAAACATATAGGACTAATGACTCAGGAAAAAATTAATATGAAGGATTTAGTTAGAACCCTCCTTCCACTCAAAGCTTCTATAGAAACAAGAGACTATCAGGAAGAAAGCGCATGTGTATTTCTGGTACGAACCAGTGTTTTTAAAAAGGTTTTAGTAGAGGCAAAATGTTATATCTTGGCAATGGGTATATAAAATTCCAAAGGCCTATTAAGAACTTTGCACACTGCAAACACACACACACACTCACATACACACACACATCTGTGGCATGACTTAGATAAAATCTGAAATAGCATGGTTTTCAGCAGTAAATAATGGCCACATCTGCTGGCATGTAGAGCCCTTGCATAGCTGATTTCCCTGCAGCCCCTGGGGCTGATATCCAGAGCAGACTGATTGCCCCAGGGCAATTGTCATAGTATGGCTCCAAATTAGGTTACTATTAGATATGACAATATTGTTCAAAACTTCTTTCTAACTTAATTGCTTACCTTCTGACTCAATAATCCAAGAGGCTTTAGAAACGTTTTACGTAATTTTTAGAATTTTTAAAGAAAATATAAAATGTTTTCTATAAGTAGTAATGCATTTTTTACACTGAATCAAACACACTTTTTCAAGAATGATTAAGGAAAAAAACCAAAGAATAAGAAAGGAATAGCCAGCCAAACAAGCTCTAAATGTGTGCCGTCCAAAAAGGCATGGTGACCTTCTGAAGATTAAATGACATTTAACTGGTAACTTTAAAGGCTTGAATGGTACTATAAAACTCTTGTAGTAAAGTCATTAAATTCCAAAGAACACAAGGTTGGATGTTTCTCTTGTTTTTTTTTTTTTTAACCTCTAAAGTTAGCACAGCATTCAGAAATACGTTGTTAATTATTTATTTTACTTTGTGGAGGCTAAGGAGAAGATTGAGTCTAGAAAACTAAATTATATGGTATTTGAAATTAGTAGGCAATTTCAGCCCGCCTCGAAAATGCTTCCCACAGACTGTCCTTCCCTACCCGACTTGGTACCTGGGTAGCAAAGATAACTATCGGCTTCAAACAAGCAGCAAAGACAAAAATAAACCCCC